TGTCTCCCCGACAGACCTGGTCTTCACCTGAGGACGGCTACTTGCGTTGTGGCCGAAACGTCGTGAGAATTGTATTTTATTATGTTTTAATTTTTATTATTTTATTATTTCCCTTCTACGTGATTTTATTTGAAGGCTGTAAGGGGGGATTCTTTGTCTCGTGACTTGCAGCGTGGAGTTTGAACACAGGTACGGATGACACGAAACAGTTCGCTGGAACGCATGTTGGCAAGGTCGGAACATTTTATTGTAATGAATAGCAAAAATGTGAATACGTACATGGCTTACGACATAACTTGACCTATTCCACTGAGCAAGGCGATACACCAAACACCGAATACGACAACGTTTGGTCTATCTTCTTGCTTCTTTCGGTAAAGTCACGTAGAAGGGAAATAATAAAATAATAAAAATAAAACATATAAAATACAATTCTCACGACGTTTCGGCCACAACGCAAGCAGCCATCCTCAGGTGAAGAACAGAACAAGACGCTGTCTTTCCGACAGACCTGTTCTTCACCTGAGGACGGCTGCTTGCGTTGTGGCCGAAACGTCGTGAGAATTATTTAATGATGTTTTATTTTTATTATTTTATTATTTCCCTTCTACGTGACTTTACCGAAAAAGAACCAAGAAGATGAATCCCTGCAGTCACGAAAGCTTTAAATCGACGTCGGTCTACTTGTGACGATAGAAAAAAGAAACACACCAGCGCAAGAAGCGTATTGACACCACACCACCAGCAGCTTGGCTCCAGCCGAGGGCCTCTGACATGAGCCCAAGGGTCGCCACGCCCTGCCCGAGATTGACCAGGGTATTGATCGGCGAATCGATTTTGGCAGTGTTGAACTTTATTGAAGCCAAAACTGCAGTTTCGATCATAGACCTAGGCCGATTTCATACTTGGGCTTTCACGAGCAATGATTCATAATTCGGTTTTTTTTTTGGGTTCGGTTGTGTGGGTATAATGTCAATTCGAGCCCTTTCGCTCGAGGTCTGAGCTCTTGATAACACCTGATGATACTGGATGCCATCTCAACCGAAATGCCGCATACAAGCACCGAAACATTGTCAAACATTTCTGCTCTTGCTGAAATACCACGTCGATGGACACGTGTTCCTGGCTGGCAGCTTGGCAGCGTGGTTGGGTGGTGAAAGGTGCACGGCTGTAATTGACAATCGCATTAACACGATCTGACCCCCCCCCCCAAAAAAAAAAACGAATTATGAATCAAGCCCAGGCCAGGGTCGACTTGGACTTTCTGTTTGCACTTAGTCACATATTTACTTTAAGATGTTTTTTGTTCATGTTTTTGTATTTTTGTTTGTTGCGGTTGCACCCGATTCAAGAGCCGAATGGCTCACAGGGCTATATACCTAATACATGAACTTGAAACTTGAACTTGAAACCGCGGAGCGGAGCCTAATCAGCCTGCGAGCGGCAATGTTGCCAAGCAAGCTCCTCTAGCGCAGCACCACGCGACGAGGTCGAAAATGTTTCCTTTCTAAGATAAAAACAACGACGAGACGACCAGCCGATGGGGAGTTGCGCCGGCCTGCCCCGTCCACGCGCGTCGGAGCGCCGAGGAAGCGACGGAAACCGGACAACGCTCCCAAACTCGGCGGCGATAACGAAACTAAGTGGCTAAACGAGCAGCACCGATACAAAAGCAGATATTGACCCGACAACACCTGTTAACACTGCCCACGATAATACTGCGGCACGGGGTGGCGATCACGAAACACGTGCGCTCCCTACCAAACGTGACGGAACAACGCCATTCACCGACGCAACTAAAAAACACTGGCCAAATATGCTCCACCAACATCCACCGCCACCACCACCACCACCACACAGAGAAAGAGAGAGCTGGGTGGCTGAGGCACAGGCACTCAGAGGACATGGTGGATGGGGAATGCAATGACCACAGATCTCACAGAGTGGTTCTGAAGGAGGCGTTTGAGGTAGGTGAGTGTAATGGGACTGCACCTGAGTTCGAGTCAGCCTCTTGGACACGGCAACACTGAATCCGCGAGAGGACACAATTATGTACCCTATCGTTCTGCACTGAACCTAGGACTCCGGCAACACTGAATCCGCGAGAGGACACAATTATGTATCCTATCGTTCGGCACTGAACCTAGGACTCCGGCAACACTGAATCCGCGAGAGGACACAATTATGTATCCTATCGTTCTGCGCCGAACCTAGGACTCATATCTAACAAGAGCGGAACGTTGCCCACGAACATCTGACAGTTCGCCAGCGTTGGATCAAGCAGGGCAGCAGACCCTGCTGATGATGACACGCTGAATATCAAAACTGGTCCAGAGTTTGGCTCGTGTTGCACCAAATCTGTTGCAAGTGTGCACTCGCAGAAGAAAGGCCGTGTGGCTGATGGAATGTGTACGAAAACCCCAATTATTTTTGTTCATCTTCTTGGTTCTTTCGGTAAAGTCACGTAGAAGGGAAATAATAAAATAATAAAAATAAAACATAATAAAATAATTCTCACGACGTTTCGGCCACAACGCAAGCAGCCGTCCTCTTCACCTGAGGACGGCTGCTTGCGTTGTGGCCGAAACGTCGTGAGAATTGTATTTTATTGTGTTTTATTTTTATTATTGTGACTGACCATGATGTGTGTGTGTGTGTGCATGTGATACGGCTGGCAAAAACAACCCCCATCCCCTCGGTGGATGTGAGTCGGTAACGCTGTGGAGGTTGTGAGCAATGTCATTTGGGGAAAGGACGATACCAATCGCCTGTTACCCTTACGGCGCTCACAGTCGCCACGGTGACCAACGGGGGGCTCTGGAAGGTTGCGAGGGGCTGGTAACTCATTCAACTCAATTAACCGAAAAATAAGTATAACCCGTAAAAACAAAGTTTGTCACTATAAATCCTTTATATGCGTGGCGGCTAGAGTCCTCTCGTCCTCTGGCTTGAGATGGCTGCCACCTATGGGTCAGATCATTGTCTGCCAGTATTAAGCAATTGGTAATTAAATATTTAATTTGTGTTTCCTAAACAGTGTAAAATTTTGGAAACATTTTTTCACGAACATTAATTGTCTCGCACAACGAGTCTGTGTGCAAAATGTCAGCTCGATTGGATCACGGGAAGTGGGTTAAAAAACGACCGAAAGATTTGCACGGTCGTAAGCAAGCAAGCAAGCACGCAAGCACGCAAGCAAGCGAACTTAATATAAAGGATTTAAATACAAAAGATTGTGCAGCAGGCCCCGGGGGCACAGGCATCTGTGACATCTCCTGGCCAAGCCCGAGTTGGCTGAGCCAGGAGACTAAATCCCCACCCTCGGGCTCTCTCCAGAAACAGCAAAAAAAACCACTACGAGTGGCCACGTGGAATGTTCGAACGCTCAGTGCGGAGGAAAGGCTGCCACCTCTTTGTTGGTGAACTGGACCGGTACTGCTTGGACCGATGTGGAGTACAGGATGTCTGGTGGACTGGTTCTGGCTCCAGTCACTATGAGGAATGGACACTGCTCCACTCGGTGCAGGAAACTGCCAAACAACAGGAAGTGGCTCTTCTTCTGAACAAAATAATGAAGGGGGTGTGGGAGCATGGCGGTAAGACGTGGGAAGCTGTCCCAGGCTACTGTGGGCTCGCTTCCCCATCAACGGGAGGTGAGGAATAGTGGCGGTGGTGGCTTATGCCCCCACCGAAGATGAACATCAGTGGAGGCATGCAGGTAAGGCCGGTGAGTCAGATGCCTTCAACGACTTGTCGCGGGTAAAGCTAAAGTGGCACCTTGGGATAGAATCATCCTGTTGGATGACTTTCATGAACGAGTGGATCATGACGCATACACCTGGGCTGGAGTGATTGGAAGCAGAGGTCGCAAACGGGTTTTGATTCCTTACCCGTACCCGGCCGCACCAGGGTCGCAAACGGGTACCCGTACCCGTACCCGGCCGTACCTGATTGCGACCTCTGGGATGAAGCCATGTTGCAGGCGCGGGTGGGTTGATTCTAGGAACTTGAATTGTGAGAAGAGACAAGACGTTGGGAAATGAGTGACAAACAGTTACTCACCAGTGACTCACGGCCTACCCGTACCCGGCCACACCAGGGTCGCAAACGGGTACCCGTACCCATACCCGGCCGGGTACGGATAGCCGGGTATCGGGTAGCGTACGGGTATCGGGTACCCGGTTGCGACCTCTGATTGGAAGGCATGGGCCAGATCAGCTGCTCGACTTCTGTGCAGCCCATGGGCTTGTAACCACTGTTCCGGAATGACATCATGGATAACGCCAGGGCCAAAAAAGAACATCTGCTGGAGTATATAGTGACAGACCAGCGAATGCGGGCCCATGTCCTTGACGCCAAGACCTACCGTGGAGCTGATCTGGCCACTGACCATCAGTTTGTCATCTGTAATATGTGCCTGACATTCTTCCACTGAGCTGGTGGGCGTCCACCTTGGACCTCATTCAAAACCCGCAGGTCTTGGCTCGCTGATGAAAGTAGCCAGTTAGAAATGAATCATAGCTTGCAACTGGGGTTGGCATCGTTCCCCCCTTCTCCTGATGCCGATGGGAATTGGATAAGGTTCAAGAACGTGGCTCAGGCAGCTGCAATGGCCACGTTGGGTATGCAGTTCAGACCTCCCCAGAGACCCTGGCATGACGGAAGAAGATGATTCCAGCTAGCCGAGAGAAAGCGACAGGCCCACTCCCACCATCTACAACATCCCACATCTGAGAATGAGAAGGCTTACCGCAGCCTTCGCTGAAGCGACGAGTGCTGGTCGCGGGTTGCTGAGGAAATGGCAATGCCATTGGTACCTCATTTGCCAGAAAAAAATATAATTTTTTTTTACCCTTCTATCTGGCAACAAAACTGACACCTTTTTTACGAGGAGTCATGTTTGCATAGACCGCAATACCTGCAGTCATAATGCAAACAAAAAACATAACTCTGATAATGTATGCACTGTTATGTTTTTTGTTTGCATTATGACTGCAGGTATTGTGGTCTATGCAAACATGACTCCTCGTAAAAAAGGTGTCAGTTTTGTTGCCAGATTAAAGGGTAAAAAAACAATTATGGAAATGGCAACGGTTGATCAATAAAAATATATACTATGGCGTGCCTGGATTTTTTTCCGTGGCACGCCAGTCGTATAGCACCGAAATCGGGTTGCCACATGTCCGAGCTTGATCTCAGCAGTACAGGAGAAATGGCATGATCTGTGTTCAGGTGGCAGAAGGAATTTAATTGTCTGAGACCTGGTGTCAACGTGACAACTGCCAGACAGACACGCAAAAGCCACGATCCACCGGGGGAAACTTTAGGTCAACCGTTGCCAGCAGTTGGCACCGGCAATGGTGACTGCAGCGCTTCCCATTGTAAAAATCTCGTTGCTAAGCAGATCAAGGATGACATTTTTGATTTGTTACCCACAGCGGATTTCGTCCGCTCCTCCTTTAAACGAGTGAAGAAGTGAAGGTGGGCCAACCGGGACAGTGGCATCCAATGAGATCGAAGACAGAGGTCACGTGACTTGCTGCCTGACGTCACACACACTCTTCATTTGGCAAAAATGGCGGCTTCAACTCTGAGTGGGATCTGGACGTGGTATGATGGTGTGATGGTGCGATGTGATGGTGCGGCATGATGACGTCGTGGGTGAGATGGTGCGGAGGGTGTGACAGTGTGGGTGGAGTGTGATGGTGTGGTGTGGAGGGGGGGTGGGCATCCGAACGCGCCTCAAGAGGCGGCGGCGGTGGGCGTCACGAACCCGCGCAGCAGTTCCACGGGCAGCGGAAACACAATGGTGGAGTTGTGTTCCGCGGCGATGGCGTTCAGCGTCTGCAGGTAGCGCAGCTGCATCGCGTTCGGCGCCTCGGCCATCACCATCGCCGCCTCCTTCAGCGCCCGCGACGCGTCGCGCTCGCCCTCCGCCGCGATCACCTGTGCGTGGGGAAGGTCATGGGGGATGGTGGGGTCACGTGGAGATCATGTACTAGCTGGCGGTCGTACGGGGCAGGGTCACGCGGGTGGCGGAGGGAGGGGGGCACGGCAGGTGGCAGGCGTTGATTGGTCCCGAGCTCTGCTGGGGTATTGTGGTGACGTGCTGAACAGCTGGACCTGAAGAGTGACCAACATAGGAAGTAAGAAAGTAAGACAAAGGTTGCGTAGAGAAGAAGACCCCGATGCAGGCAGTGGTGAGCAGGAAACTGGCAGTATTTGGACACGTATGTAGGATGCACAACAACAGTAACATTGAAGGTGTGTTGTTGTTGTTGTTGTTCGGAAAAATGTAAGGAACCGGAAATTGAGGAAGACTCGAACAGAGAATGGCCAGAATTACGTGTCACTACTTGAGCATATTGGCACAAGACAAAGGCGAAAGTGGAAACAAATGACGAAATGTGCAGTGGACACTTATGGGCAATCTGCCCATAGATCGTGATGATGATGATGACGATACTGAACTTTACTGCAGGGTGCTGCACAATTATGACGATAGCCCGAGGCAAACTGAGCACTAGTGCGGGTTTTGCGTTCGGAAAAGGTGTCAACCCTAGCGGTAGGCCTCCTGTGGCCGTGGGCCGTGTGAAGTAAAATCACCGGCCGAGGGTTCCCAAATCATCTGGCTATGGGTGCTGCGTCGATGCGGGGTCTAAAATGGGGGGGGGGGGGGGGGGGTTCAAGGCCCCCCCCCCCCCACGTCGCGGAGTGGCAAGTCACCTTGGCGCGTGCCTCCCTCGTCGCCTCGGCCTCGGCCGCCATGACACGCTGCATTTGCTGGGGCAGCTTGATGTCGGTGATCTCCACGCGCTCAACCTTGATGCCCCAGGAGTCCGTAGCGTCGTCCAGATTCATCTGCAGGGAGGAGAAGGGGGGCGCGGGGAGAGTGGAGATGCGAGATGGGAGGAGGCGTGGGGAGAGTGGAGATGCAAGCAGATGGGAGTAGGCGCGGCGAGATGGGAGACACGAGCAGGTGTACGGTGAGCGTACCTGCGTGGCGAGTGCACGACGGGTCTGACGGGGAGCTCACCTGCATGGCGTGTGCGAGCTCGGAGCGGTCGGACAGGATCTCGGAGAGCGTGCGCGTGCCCAGCGCGTTGCGCAGCGTGGTCTGCGCGAGGATGCGAGTCGCGGCGTGCGCGTCCGACACGTTGGCCACCGACATGATGGCGTCGGCCACGCGGTAGTACACCACGCCGTCCACCGCCACCGTCACCGAGTCCTTTGTCAGGATCTGCCGGGTGGAGGGGAGTGGGGGGGGTGGGTTCATCCGTCGGCCGGCCCGTCGGTGCAGCGTGCCGCTAGAGCGGTAAAATACTCTGAAGAGGCATTTTTATTAATTCGGTTAAAAAAAAAAAAACTCAATATTTCAAGGGGAAAACCGGAGGAGCCGGAGAAAAATACACGTGATGATGACCAGCGAGTATCATCAAGCTCAGGATCGAACCCACGAGCTCCTGTATACCAGGCGAGGTAGTTAACATCTCGTCACAATCTTGCAATGCTGCCGTTTAACAAGCAAATGAATAAAACCACGGGTCGTGACCATGACAGTAACAAACGTGAATTGTGAGTTGCACCCCTATTGCGCATGGTAGAAAGCGTGGGGCGTGTGTTTGCCAATGCCAGTTATATTGTGGGGAGTTTTTTTTGTTTTTAAATCCTTTATATTAAGTTCACTTGCTTGCTTGCGCGCTTACGACCGTGCAAATCTTTCGGTCGTTTTTTAACCCACTTCCCGTGATCCAATCGAGCTGACATTGTGCACACAGACTCGTTGTGCGTGACAATGTCTTTTCGTGAAAATATTTTTCTTAAATTTTACACTTTTTAGGTAAAATTTTTTTTTAATTAATTACCAATTGCTTAATGGTGGCAGGCAATCATCTGACCCATAGGTGGCAGCCATCTCAAGCCAGAGGACGAGAGGACTCTAGCCGCCCGTTTCAAAGACCAATGTGGCCTGGGTTTTGGCCCATTGAACACGCATATAAAGGATTTATAGTGAAAAACTTTGTTCTTACGGGTTAATTTTTTTAAGCTATTGGAGGCAACTGGAGAACGCAGAGAAACCCCATTCATGACAGGAGAGCATCCAAACTCCACACAAGCAGCTGCCCAAGTCGCAAAATGAAACCCCCGTCCTTCGTGTGCTGCGAGGCATACGAGTTTATCCACCCCCGCGCCGCACCTGGGAATTATTTTACGTGACCCATGCAGCCAGCAGGGATTGGCGGATGAATTGACAAAGAGCAGAACGGATTCTTGAGTGAGAATGGACACTGCCCGGATACTGCCCCACACCAAGGCTGGACTGAATGTGTCTTGTGTTCAAACTTAATTTGGAGCTTTCGTGACTGCAGGAATAATTCTTTGGTTCTTTCGGTAAAGTCACGTATAAAGATAAAATAATAAATTAAATTAAATACTAGCATACGACGTTTCGATTGCAACACAAGCAACACAAGCAATCGAAACGTCGTATGCTAGTATTTAATTTAATTTATTATTTTATCTTTATACGTGACTTTACCGAAAGAACCAAAGAATGTCTTGTGTTCATTGCAGACACAAAGTGCTTGCCGCAAGTGAACCACAAGACCTCGCTGATCTCGTGAAGGAGCATAAACCATCATCACGCGACACTCCGCTCATCCTCGCAGCAGCAGTGGCTTTCGGCTAGCCACCGGAAACAAAGACGGTCACCACATCGCACGCTTTATGATGCACTTCTGCGGCCATCTCGAACGCTCTACCTTCCGATGTTAGTGGGTGTCACTTGCGCGAAACACTTTTAAATCTAAAATTAAAACTAATTGATTTAGAACTCTTCATTTTGGAGCTTTCGTGACTGCAGGAATTATTCTTTGGTCTTTTCGGTTAAGTCACGTCTAAAGATAAAATAATAAATTAAATAATAGCATATTACGACGTTTCGATTGCAACACAAGCAATCATCATCAGGCATAAAAGAAATAGCAACAAAAATCTAACTAGAAAACTATAGACAGACACGCAAGCAGACAGACATCACAAGGACACACAGAGAGAGAACACATATCGGCACAAAGAGAGAGGTCGTTTCTGTGACGGGGCCTTAAATTTGTAATAAAGGACTCGTTCACTGTGTCTGTCTCCGTTGTTCTTTATTCTGGTTCCTCTACACTTGTCCCACACGGCCCTCGCTCAGAGCCTCTCCGCTCGGCAGCTCGATGCTGCCTTCGCTCCCGTAGCCTCTCCCCACTCCGATGCAGCTCCCCCGCTGCTGCTCGTCCCTCCGTGCTCGGTCACCGCTGGCCGACGGTGCCGAGTCTCACTCCCTGTGTGGCGATCTCGCCACTCTCCAACCTCCGCCCTGCGTGGCCTCACTCTATCTCAATCCCCAACTCTCTCTCGTCTCTTCCGGTTTCTCCCCCTTAAGACTTGATCCCTCTCTCCCACGTGACCTAACTCCTCCCCCCGTGACGTCATATCCGCGAGGCCGTTTACGCCCGCATTACAAATTTATTATTTAGAACTGCTTTTTGCGCTTCGTTTTTGTCCTTCCCCGCACCTCCGCTCAGCACGGTTGGCTACGTACGGTGCGAAAAAAGGTTTAAATGTAATTTTTGTACAACTGAGAGATGATCGGCGTAAAGTCTCGTTTGCCGCGGTGACCTGGGTAGAATAACGCCGCTGTTGACGTGTGAAGCGTAGGGAACCACTTGCCAACGGGGAAGTGAACCGGAACCGGCATGATCAACACAATTACCTTAGGCCCAGAGGTGGAAAACGGGTTTTGATTCCTTACCCGTACCCGGCCGCACCAGGGTACCCGTACCCATACCCGATATCCGGCTATCCGTACCCGGCCGAGTATCGAGTAGGGTACGGGTACCCGATTGCGACCTCTGGGATGAAGCCATGTTGCAGGCGCGGGTGGGTTGATTCTAGGAACTTGAATTGTGAGAAGAGACAAGACGTTGGGAAATGAGTGACAAACGGTGACTCACCAGTGACTCACGGCCTACCCGTACCCGGCCGCACCAGGGTCGCAAACGGCTACCCGTACCCGGCTGGGTATGGGTAGCCGGGTATCGGGTAGGGTACGGGTATCGGGTACCCGATTGCGACCTCTGCTTAGGCCCAACTCCCAGTCACTCATTCACGTACCTCCTGGGGCGGGATGTCAAACGTGATGGTTCGCATATCGATCCGTATAAACGTGTCCGTGCAAGGAACCACCCAGAAGAGCCCTGCACACACAAAGACAAAGATCCCTCGTGTAGCCTGTAACAGACTGTTGGGGCAAGTGCTGTTAGTGACTAGCACCTATGAAGGCCAGCACGGCACACGAGGGGGTGGGTGGCCAGCACAACGCCCGGCAAGCCTTTGTCTCCCCCAGTGACGATGTTTGCTACACACCGCACCAGGTACTCATTTGAGGCTGAGTCGACCTAGGGGAGGCCCAGAACCGGTTCAGATATTCGTCACTGGTAGCCATGAGCGGGAATCGAACTCGGGGGGCCGGGTTCGTAGCGCAGCGTAGCGCTAAACGCTACGCTACACACACACTCACGGACAAGGTCCCTCATTTAGCCTTCAAGAGACTGTTGGGGAAATTGCTATTAGCTCAGTCGCACTTATGAAGGCCTGGCACGGCGCAAGTGAATCTGAATGAGAAATTCTAGATTTGAAGCTTTCGTGACTGCAAGAAATCATATTCTTAGGTTTTTTTCGGTAAAGTCACGTAGGTAAAAAATTTTAATTAATAAAAGTAAAATAAAAAATAAAATAAAAATTACGACGTTTCGGAGGCAACACAAGCATCCGTCTTCAGGTGGTACCGTCACAGCACGATTGCTGTATCAAGTAAATGATACGCTTGCTGTATCACTTGATACAGCTGTATCACTTGATACAGCAATCGTGCTGTGACGGTTCCACCTGAAGACGGAAGCTTGTGTTGCCTCCGAAACGTCGTAATTTTTTTTTATTTTACTTTTATTAATTTTATTTTTTTACCTAAGTAACTTTACCGAAAAAACCTAAAACTGAATGAGAAACTTTACTTACTACACTGAAAGAATCCGATGAGCTATGAAGCACTTCTTCACATCAATTTTCTTCACAGTTTACAATAGAACTACTCCCCTCATATACACACAACTCATATTCAACTTACATGAACGCAATTTGTTTCTGTTAGCTTGAGTCTCTCTCTCTCTCTCTGGTTCGTGCCCTTCGAGTGTGCTGTTCATTTGTACGTTTTAATACTGGTAGGAACCACCTGGTTCCACCAGCCCACAGGGGATTATTGTGTTCGTCCGTCGTGCATCAAAAAATGGGAGGGGTGGGGCTGGGTGGAGAGGGGAGGGTGGGGAGGGGCTGGGTGGGGAGGGAGGGGAGGGGCTGGGTGGGGAGGGTGGGGAGGGGCTGGGTGGGGAGGGTGGGGCTGGGTAGGAGGAGGTTGGGGAGGGGCTGGGTGGGGAGGGGCTGGTCACCCCGTGGTGCCCTTATAAAACTCAACGTTTAACCTACTCACGCCGGCTTGTGCCCGCCCTCAAAGTCGGGCATATTTGAGGAATACGCCACGCCGCCGTTGACCCTGGCCATTGACCGAGCAACCCGACGTTCCTACCAGCTCCCTCCGCAGGAATGTGTTAAAAAATACTGCTTTCAAAAAAATTATAACGCAAAAGACGGAGGACATCCCTGTCACATGCCTAGGTGAGCAGGCTTTGGCTCACTCAGCCACACAACTTTACCATGCCCACCATCATGAAGGTCTTTAAAGACGAGCAAAAGGGTCAGGGACCCCCGAAAGCATGAAGAATAACCCAGAACCCTGGTCAACTTATGTCATCATAGGCCTTGACCACGTCAACAAAGCAGAGATATATGCCCTGTTGTAGCAGTCGTGGTGGTGAGCGTGTTGCGAGAAAGACGTGGTGGTGAGCGTGGTGGTGAGTGTGGTGGTGAGGGTGGTGGTGAGTGTGGTGGTGATCGTGGTGAGGGGACGTGGTGGTGAGCGTGGTGGTGAGCGTGGTGTTGAGCGTGGTGGTGAGCGTGGTGGTGAGTGTGGTGGTGAGCGTGGTGGTGAGTGTGGTGGTGAGCGTGGTGTTGAGCGCGGTGGTGAGTGTGGTGGTGAGTGTGGTGGTGAGCGCGGTGGTGAGCGTGGTGGTGAGCGTGGTGGTGAGCGCGGTGGTGAGCGTGGTGGTGAGTGTGGTGGTGAGCGTGGTGGTGAGCGTGGTGAGAGGACGTGGTGGTGAGCGTGGTGAGAGGACGTGGTGGTGAGCGTGGCGGTGAGCGCGGTGAAAGAAAGACACTGTGGTGGTGGTGAGTGCGGTGAGAGGACGTGGTGGTGGTGAGCGTGGTTGTGAGCGTGGTGGTGAGCGCGGTGAAAGAAAGACACTGTGGTGGTGAGTGTGGTGAGTGTGGTGTGTGCGGTGCTCACCGGGGCCGCGTGCCCGTCCCGGCAAGATGCGTCCCAGGCGGAAGATGACGGCGCGCTCGTACTGCTGCACGATCTACACAGCGGGGAGCACGGAGTCGGAGCAGGAGTGGGTGGTGTCACAGAGGGAGCCTCGTGAAGGACGCTGCTGCTGCTACTGGGCAGCTGGGAGGCTGTTACCCTCCAACGGAGGGCAGAGGAGCGACGCTCACAACAACGAGCGGAGCGGCCAGGTGGCTAAAACGCAGCGAGTTGGCACAGTAGGGGGGCACAGCTGGTGCATCTGCCAGTCGTCTCAGCCAACCCACGGCACCTGGGTCTGTCCCTTGATCCTCCTGCCAGCGAGCCTTCGACAACTTCATGTGGTTTAAAAATCCTTTATATTAAGTTCGCTTGCTTGCTTGCGTGCTTGCTTGCTTGCTTACGACCGTGCAAATCTTTCGGTCGTTTTTTAACCCAATCGAGCTGACATTTTCCACACAGACTCGTTGTGCGTGACAATTAATTTTCGTGAAATTTTTTTCCAAAAATGTTACACTGTTTAGGGGAAAATAAATAAATATTTAATTACCAATTGCTTAATACTGGCAGACAATCATCTGACCCATAGGTGGCAGCCATCTCAAGCCAGAGGACGAGAGGACTCTAGCCGCCATGCATATAAAGGATTTAGAGTGAAAAACTTTGTTTTTACGGGTTAATTTTTTACCCTTTCAACTGGTACTTGTATAAAGGTGTCAGTTTTTGTACCAGTTGAAAGGGTAAAAAATTATCACTATGAGATGGCGTGTGTCGTGCTGTTGTGATGTCACGGCGCGATGGAGTGAAGCCCATCAGCGCTGAGCAAACGAGACGCTATTCATTGGCCAGACAGACAGAGGGAGAGAAATCTCCATCGGCCCGTGCCATCCCCCCACATCCGCTCACGGTTTCATGCGTCGCCTGCGACGGCTGCCAGATTCAGTTGCCCTGGTTCGGCCCCAGGTTCATCACCACCCGAAAGAGGGCGAGCGAGCGAGCGAGCGATCGTGGGTGGCAGAGGTCGCAAACGGGTTTTGATTCCTTACCCGTACCCGGCCGCACCAGGGTCGCAAATGGGTACCCGTACCCTACCCGAAATGAGTGACAAACGGCTACTCACTAGTGACTCACGGCCTACCCGTACCCGGCCGCACCAGTGTCGCAAACGGGTACCCGTACCCTACCCGTACCCTACCTGTACCCGGCCGGGTATCGGCTAGGGTACGGGTACGGGTACCCGATTGCGACCTCTGGGATGAAGCCATGTTGCAGGCGCGGGTGGGTTGATTCTAGGAAACTTGAATTGTGAGAAGAGACAAGACGTTGGGAAATGAGTGACAAACGGTTACTCACCAGTGACTCACGGCCTACCCGTACCCGTACCCGGCCGGGTACGGCTAGCCGTGTATCGGGTAGGGTACGGGTATCGGGTACCCGGTTGCGACCTCTGGTGGGTGGGCAGGCGGGCGAGAAGGTGGGGGGAGGGGGGGGATTGGTAGGCCAACCTTGATGCTGCAGAAGATGGAGAGTGGCAGGGTGAGGATGACGAGCAGGAGGGAGAAGGCGGCCAGGAGACACTCGCAGCAGCCGGCTCTGCCCTGCTCACTCCCTGCACGACACGGACAACGGACGTCGTGGGTTCAATCCTGACCCTGACGCCTGCTGCTGTGTATTTGGAGTGTGTGTGTCTCTCTCATCATCATCACGGTGGCTAGGAGATGTTGACTACCTCGTCTGGTGTGCAGGAGGTTGTGGGTTCCATCCCGACCCTGACGCCTGCTGCTGTATATTTGGAGTTTGCGTGTCTCTCACCATCATCACGGTGGCTAGGAGATGTTGACTACCTCGCCTGGTGTACAGGAGGTCGTGGGTTCGATCCCAACCCTGACCCCTGCTGCTGTATATTTGAAATCCGAGTGTCTATCTCTCTCTCCCTGTGGTCGCGTGGATTTTCCTCCAGGTCACGCGTTCAGAGTATCTGGCTACTGCCACACATTTCCACACGACAACGATGATGATGATAATCCACATTAGTTGAGTTACCATCTGTGATAGCCAGTTGGCTTCTGAAAAAGAGCCACCTGTTATAGCTCAGTGGGCCTTTCGTGGTCAAATAAAACAATCAATATAGAGTTTAGTTTCGAATAGGAGTGAGGTAACGGGTGAGGTAACGGTGAGGTAACTGGTGAGATAACGGGTGAGGTAACGTGTGAGGTAACGTGTGAGGTAACGGTGAGGTAACGTGTGAGGTAACGTGTGAGGTAACGGTGAGGTAACGGTGAGGTAACGGGTGAGGTAACGGTGAGGTAACAGGTGAGGTAACGGTGAGGTAACGGGTGAGGTAACGGTGAGGTAACGGTGAGGTAGCGGGTGAGGTAACGGATAAGGTAACGGGTGAGGTAACGGGTGAGGTAACGGGTTAAGTAACGAGTGAGGTAACGGTGAGGTAACGGTGAGGTAACGAGTGAGGTAACGGGTGAGGGTAACATATGAGGTAACAGGTGAGGTAACGGATGAGGTAACGGGTGAGGGTAACTAATGAGGTAACGGGTGAGGTAACGGGTGAGGTAGGGGATGAGGTAACAGATAAGGTAACGGGTGAGGTAACGGTGAGGTAACGAGTTAGAGTAACGGGTGGGGTAATGGGTGAGGTAACGGTGAGGTAACGGATGAGGTAGGGGATGAGGTAACGGGTGGGGTAACGGGTGAGGTAACGGTGAGGTAACGAGTGAGGTAACGGTGAGGTAACGGTGAGGTAACGGGTGAGGTAACGGGTTAGAGTAACGGGTGAGGTAACGAGAGAGTAACGGTGAGGTAACGGTGAGGTAACGGGTAAGGTAACGGGTGAGGTAACGGTGAGGTAACGGGTGAGGTAACGGTGAGGTAACGAGTGAGGTAACGGATAAGGGTAACGGCTGAGGTAACGGGTTAGGGTAACTAATGAGGTAACGGGTGGGGTAACTGGTGGGGTAACTGGCGAGGTAACGGGTGACGTAACGGGTGGGGTAACGGGTGAGGTAACGAGTGAGGTAACAGATAAGGTAACGGGTGAGGTAACGGGTGAGGTAACGAGTGAGGTAACAGATAAGGTAACGGGTGAGGTAACGGCTGAGGTAACGGGTGAGGTAACGGGTGAGGTAACGAGAGGTAACGGGTGAGGTAACGAGTGAGGTAACGATTGAGATTAACGGGTGAGGTAACAGGTGAGGTAACGAGAGAGTAACGGGTGAGGTAACGAGTGAGAGTAACGGGTGAGGTAACGGGCGAGGTAACGGGTGAGGTAACGAGTGAGGTAACGGATAAGGTAACGGATAAGGTAACGGGTGAGGTAACGAGAGGTAACGAGAGAGTAACGGGTGAGGGTAACGGGTCAGGTAACGGGTGAGGTAACGGTGAGGTAACGGGTGAGGTAACGGGTGGGGTAACGGGTGGGGTAACTGGTGAGGTAACGGGTGAGGTAACGAGTGAGGTAACGGCTGAGGTAACGGGTGAGAGTAACAGTGGGGTAACGGATGAGAGTAACGGGTGAGGTAACGGGTGGGGTAACGGGTGAGGTAACGGGTGAGAGTAACGGTGAGGACGAGGGGGGGGGGTCAAAAATCCTCCAAAATCGCGTGACGTCATTTATGGACGGCCCCTAAATGGATGCCCCCCCCCCTCCCCCCTGCGCTCCCATACAACGGGCGCCATTTTTTGGCGGGAAAACCGACGGCGCGCCCTCACGGCATCGTTGCAGCCGTAACAGGCGGCACTTTTAAGTCTAGATTTGAAGCTTTCGTGACCGCAATGATTCGTATTCTTAGTTTTTTTAGGTAAAGTCACGTAGGTAAAAAATTTTAATAAAATAAAATAAAAATCACGACGTTTTTGAGGCAACACAAGTCTTCAGGTGGAACCGTCGCAGCCTACGACAGCTGTATCTATCAAGTAAATATACGGCACACTTTTTATTAATATGGTAAGGTGAGGCTTAAGACTAAGAATAGAATGCATAACAAAAGGCTGAGCCTTTGTTATGTAGATGAACTTTTATTGTTAGCGAGCGCCTATTAAGGCCGGCTCGGTACACTAGGAACGTGAGTGGGTGGGCAACAACCACTGTACACCGCACTACGTTTGAGGCCGAGTCGACCTAGGGGAGGCCCAGTTCTGATAATCGGCCGTGAACGGGAATCGAACTCGGGTGGCCGGGTTCGTAGCGTGGCGCTAACCGCTGTCCCACCGCTCGCCACGCACACGCAACGTGATAAGCCACATTCTACTAAGGCATAACAGATGCGAACACAATACAATAACACGAAACAATACGCTTACACGCAACGCAATAACAAATTATGCTACCACATTATAACAGATACGAACACATTACAATAACACACTAATGCACACTAACACAATGCATACATTCTACGAACACAATGGCGCATACGAACACACACAACAACAACAATAACAGTACACACACAATGCACTAACACACAACAACAACACACCAATAACAGTACACACACAATGCACTAACACACAACAATAACAGTACACACTAACACAATGCACTAACACACAACAACAACACAACAATAACAGTACACACTAACACAATGCACTAACACACAACAACAACAACAATAACAGTACACACTAACACACACAACAACACAACAATAACAGTACACCCTAACACAACAACAACACAATAACAGTACACACTAACACAATGCACTAACACACAACAACAACAACAATAACAGTACACACTAACACACACAACAACACAACAATAACAGTACACCCTAACACAACAACAACACAATAACAGTACACACTAACACAATGCACTAACACAACAACACAACTATAACAGTACACACTAACACACAACACAATAACAGTACACACACAATGCACTAACACACAACAACAACACAACAATAACAGTACACACTAACACACAACAACACAACAATAACAGTACACACTAACACAATGCACTAACACACACAACAACACAACAATAACAGTATACACTAACACAATGCACTAACACAACAATAACAGTACACACACAATGCACTAACACAACAACACAACAATAACAGTACACACTAACACAATGCACTAACACAACAACAACACAACAATAACAATGCACTAACACAACAACAACAACACAATAATAGTACACTAACAATGCACTAACACACAACAACAATAACAGTACACACTAACACACAACAACAACACAATAACAGTACACACACAATGCACTAACACACAACAACACAACAATAACAGTACACACTAACACACAACAACAACAACACAATAACAGTACACACTAACACAATTCACTAACACACAACAACAACACAACAATAACAGTACACACTAACACAATGCACTAACACACAACAACAACAACACAACAATAGTACACACTAACACAATGCACTAACACAACAACAATAACAGTACACACTAACACAATGCACTAACACACACAACACAACAATAACAGTACACACACAATGCACTAATACACAACAACAACACAACAATAACAGTACACACTAACACAATGCACTGACACAACAACACAACAATAACAGTACACACTAACACAATGCACTAACACAACAATAACAGTACACACTAACACAATGCACTAACAACAATAACAGTACACACTAACACAATGCACTAACAACAATAACAGTACACACTAACACAATGCACTAACACAACAATAATAGTACACCCTAACACACAACACAATAACAGTACACACTAACACAACACAACAATAACAGTACACAATGCACTAACACACACAACAACAATAACAACAACAGGCTCCTTGCACGCCTTCACACAGCTCCGTGTTGACAATTGAGCATCAACATCAACAACATTAAATCAAGATTTAACGCGGAGCCTTTCGCGAACAACATCAGACATCATTAGTATTATAGTACCCTATGAGCAGAGCATGCAGATGATTAACCATACACAACTACCACCACGACATTCCAAACCTGTCAACCCATTATCAATGCCTCTTACCCTATTACAGACCTTATAGGTCCACCCGTGCCCCTTATAATCTCAACGTTTATCCTATAAATTCCCATCACAAGGAGAGAAACACACGAATCATATATTGTGTGTTGCCCGCATTGAAACGCCTCTGTACACCGCGTGGAGCTTAAAACTAAATGTACCTGCTGCACAAGAACACGTGGCTAAACCCGTGATGGATTGACGGCTATGGACAATTAACCACAACATTAGCCACAACAACATTAGCCACAACAACATTAACCACCACAACATTAGCCACAACAACATTAGCCACAACAACATTAACCACCACAACATTAGCCACAACAACATTAACCACCGCAACATCAACCACCACAACATTAACCACAACATTAACCACAACATTAACCACAACATTAACCACCACAACATTAACCACAACATTAACCACCGCAACATCAACCACCACAACATTAACCACAACATCAACCACCACCACATCAACCACCACCACATCAACCACCACAACATTAGCCACAACATCAACCACCACCACAACATTAGCCACAACATCAACCACCACAACATTAGCCACAACATCAACCACCACCACATCAACCACCACCACATCAACCACCACAACATTAGCCACAACATCAACCACCACCACAACATTAGCCACAACATCAACCACAACCGCGCGGCTGGGACAAAGCCTCACAATCTCTTGTCAGCGTGGGTCGATAAATAACGGTGATGCAATGAGAGCGGCGCGATTGAGTGATGATGATGGTGGTGGTGATGATGGTGGTGGTGATGATGGTGGTGGTGATGATGGTGGTGATGATGGTGGTGATGATGGTGGTGATGATGATGGTGGTGATGGTGGTGATGGTGGTGGTGATGGTGATGATGGTGGTGATGATGATGGTGGTGGTGGTGGTGGTGATGGTGGTGGTGATGATGATGGTGGTGATGATGGTGGTGGTGATGGTGGTGATGATGGTGGTGATGGTGATGATGGTGGTGATGATGATGGTGGTGGTGGTGGTGATGGTGGTGGTGATGGTGATGATGGTGGTGATGATGGTGTTGGTGATGGTGGTGATGATGATGGTGGTGATGATGATGGTGGTGGTGGTGGTGATGATGGTGGTGATGATGGTGGTGGTGATGATGGTGGTGATGGTGTTGATGATGGTGGTGGTGATGATGGTGGTGATGATGGTGGTGATGGTGATGATGGTGGTGATGGTGATGATGGTGGTGATGATGGTGATGGTGGTGATGATGATGGTGGTGGTGATGATGGTGGTGATGGTGGTGGTGGTGATGATGGTGGTGGTGATGGTGGTGATGGTGGTGGTGATGGTGATGATGGTGGTGATGATGGTGGTGATGATGGTGATGATGGTGGTGGTGATGATGGTGGCGATGATGATGGTGATGATGATGATGGTGATGATGGCGATGATGATGGTGATGATGATGGTGGTGGTGGTGATGGTGGTGATGATGGTGGTGATGATGATGGTGGTGATGATGATGGTGGTGATGATGGTGATGATGATGGTGGTGATGGTGGTGATGGTGGTGATGATGGTGGTGGTGATGATGGTGATGATGATGGTAGTGATGATGATGGTGGTGATGATCATGGTGATAATGGCGATGATGGTGGTGATGATGATGATGGTAGTGATGATGATGGTGGTGGTGATGATCATGGTGATAATGGCGATGATGATGATGATGCTTCCCCACCACCACCTCCTTCCTCCCATCTCTCACCGCCCTCTCCCTTGCCGCTATCTCGCTCGGGCTCGGTGCTCAGCGGCATCGCCTCGACAGCAGCGTGTGGAGCAGCCATCATCTCGTGCCTCTCTCTTCTCAGTCTTCTTCTCTCTCTGCTCTCCCTCCTCCTCCTGCTGCTGCTGCTCCCCCTCCCCGCCGAACTCTCCCGCCACTCACACGCGTTCCGTACAGTGCGATGGGGTTGGTGGTTGGGTTTGGTGGTGGTGGTGGGTGGTGGGTGGTGGTGGTGGGTGGTGGTGGGTGGTGGTGGTGGGTGGTGATGGTGGTGGGTGGTGGGTGGTGATGGTGGTGGGTGGTGGTGGTGGGTGGTGATGGTGGTGGGTGATGGTGGGTGGTGTTGGTGGTGGTGGTGGGTGGTGGTGGGTGATGGTGGTGGCTGGTGGTGGGTGGTGGTGGGTGGTGTTGGTGGTGGTGTTGGTGGTGGGTGGGTGGTGGGTGGTGGTGGTGTTGGTGGTGGTGGTGGGTGGTGGTGGTGGGTGATGGTGGTGGGTGGTGGGGGGGTGGTGGTGGTGGGTGGTGGTGGTGGTTGGGTTTGGTGGTGGTGGGTGGTGGTGGGTGATGGTGGTGGCTGGTGGTGGCTGGTGGTGGGTGGTGTTGGTGGTGGTGTTTGTGGTGGTGAGTGGTGGTGGGTGGTGGTGGTGTTGGTGGGTGGTGGTGGTGGGTGGTGGTGGTGGTGGGTGGTGGTGGTGGGTGGTGATGGGTGGTGGTGGGTGGTGATGGGTGGTGGTGGTGGGAGCCATTCCTTGGCACGCAATCCCGTTATATCACATCCACCATCGTCACCACCGCCACGATAACACGCACAGAGTGTTTCCCGTGCCCACAAATGTACCGCGCACAAGGGAGGGAAGCCATCCGTGGGCCATCATCACGCGACAAATCCGCTGATTTTGGGGGGGCTGCTCGGACATCGAACGAAAAGGGGGGCGATGGTTACCGCTGCGTTCAAGACGCGCTGCTTCTCGGCCGGCCGTCTGGAACGCTCTTCCCGTCCGATTGTTAGGAAGCCCACTTTGAAATCATCGTCGTCTAGATTGTCAAAACTCATTTCTTTAGAACTGCCTTTGTGTGCGTGTTTAGGTTGTTGTTACGTACGGTGCAAAATAAGTTCAACACACAAAGGCACATCGGCACCTCCTGCTGCTGATGCTGGGTGGTGGAGATTCTCTGGGAATGATGGGACCTTGTGATCATGATGATAATGGGACCCCCGTGATCATGATGATAATGAAATCTTGTGATCATGATGATGATGGGACCTCGTGAACATGAAGATAATTAAATCTTGTGATCATGATGATGATGGGACCCCCGTGATCATGATGATAATGAAATCTTGTGATCATGATGATGATGGGACCTCGTGATTATGATGATAATTAAATCTTGTGATCATGATGATGATGGGACCTTGTGATCATGATGATAATTAAATCTTGTGATCATGATGATGATGGGACCTCGTGATCATAATGATAATTAAATCTTGTGATCATGATGATACTGGGACCTCGTGATTATGATAAATGGATCTCGTGATCATGATGACAATGGGATCTCGTTATTATGATAATCGGATCTCGTGATCATGATGATACTGGGACCTCGTGATTATGATGATAATTAAATCTTGTGATCATGATGATAATGGGACCTCGTGATTATGATAAACGGATCTCGTGATCATGATAATAATGGGACCTTGTGATCATGATGATGCGACCTCGTGTGAGAATTGTGTGACCTGAATTTTTTTTTTACCAGGTACGACTGACTGAGCTATTAGCTTTTTCCAGAAGCGACCTGGCCACAAGTGATAGTTAAACGGAGTGGCTTGTCATCGTGTGGAAATGTATAGCGGTAGTCAAATATTCTAAACTAAATGTGGAGGGGAAAACCGGAGGACCCGGAAAAAAAAATCACACCACCACAGGGAGAGAGCACACATGTCAAACACCAAATATACAGCAGCAGGCGTTATGGTCGGGATCTAACCCACGACCTCCTGTATACGAGGCGAGGTAGTTCATTCTAGATTTGAAGCTTTCGTGACTGCAAGGATTCATATTCTTAGGTTTTTTTCGGTAAAGTCACGTAGGTAAAACATTAAAATTAATAAAAGTAAAATAAAATAAAAATCACGACGTTTCGGAGGCAACACAAGCTTCCGTCTTCAGGTGGAACCGTCACAGCCACGACAGCCGTATCAAGTAAATGAGAGAGGTAGCTCCTGCAATCTCTCATTTACTTGATACAGCAATCGTGGCTGTGACGGTTCCACCTGAAGACGGAAGCTTGTGTTGCCTCCGAAACGTCGTGATTTTTATTTTATTTTACTTTTATTAATTTTAACGAGGTAGTTAACTTCTCACCACCGTAGCGGCCTATGATGACCTGTGAGGGTGATGGTGATGATGATGGGACCTCGTGGTCATGATGCGTATTTTTTGTAGTGTAAGAAACTTCAATAAGGTCTTCATCCTTATTGTGTGGACTCCCTTTCTCGAGTCAGCGAAAATAATTGTAATGGCCCCATCTGGACGTTACAAATGCATGGATTTGTAATGCGGGCGTAAACGACCTCCCGGAAGTGACGTCATGGGGGGAGGAGTTACGTCACGTTGGGGAGAGGGTTCAGGTCTATAAGGGGAGAAACCGGAAGAGGAGGGGGAGTGATCGGAGACTGGGAAAGTGTGAGGCCACGCAGGGCGGAGAGTGAGAGAGAGAGTGGCGAGATCGCCACATACACGGACCACGAGGTTCGGCACCGTCGGCCAACGGTGACCGACCCCGGAGCAGCAGGACCAGCGAGGAGGCTGCAGAGAGCAGCGGGTCTGCAAAGGAGGAGTTGGGCAGCGGGGGTCTGCACGAGGAGTCAGCAGCGGGTCTGCTAGGGGGGAAGTGGGCTACGTGAGCGACAGCAGCCTGGGGCTGCCGAGCGAAGAGTATATAGGGGAGTGCCGTGAGGGAAAAGAAACCGAACCCAAATAAAGGACACGGAGACAGAGAGAAGCGTCCGAGTTCTTTATTACAGATTTAAGGTGTTAGCGGCGTCTCGGCGCGCGTGGTGGAAATCCGTTTGAGAATCGTGAGAAATATGTTGAGAGAAAGAGTCCAGGAGGCCACAACGATTTTGCACAATTTAAGTCAAGAGTTTACGAAGTGGTGAACTTATTACATGTATGTTGAACTTATTACATGTATGTTTAACTTATTACATGTATGTTGAACTTATTACATGTATACCATTGGTACCTCATTTGCCAGTAAAAAAAATGATAATTGTTTTTTTTACCCTTTTATCTGGCAACAAAACTGACACCTTTTTTACGAGGAGTCATGTTTGCATAGACCACAATACCTGCAGTCATAATGCAATCAAAGAACATAACTCTGATAATGTATGCACTGTCCTTGAAGTTGATTGGTCCACACCCGAGACAGCTTTCCTTAGAGCCTAGTCTCACATGGTGTTGGACCAGATGACGCCAAAAGGCGGACAACTGAAAGACAACGCACCATCAGAGTATGGGAGCTCGGGGTAAGCATTTACACCATTGGAACCTCATTTGGAAGTATGTTCTTTGTTTGCATTATGACTGCAGGTATTGTGGTCTATGCAAACATGACTCCTCGTAAAAAAGGTGTCAGTTTTGTTGCCAGATAAAAGGGTAAAAAAAACAATTATCTTATTACATGTATGTTGAACTTATTACATGCATGTTGAACTTATTACATGTATGTTGAATTTATTACATGTATGTTGAACTTATTTGACACCGTACGTAGCCAACCCTGCTAATCGGAAGTCCCACGTTTGAACAAGATCAATGGAATTCGATACAAGTACATTATCTCACCAGCAATAAGGATTTTTAGATTTAAAGCTTTCGTGACTGCAGGGATTCATCTTCTTGGTTATTTCGGTAAAGTCACGTAGAAGGGAAATAATAAAATAATAAAAATAAAGCATAATAAAATAATTCTCACGACGTTTCGGCCACAACGCAAGCAGCCGTCCTCAGGTGAAGAACAGGTCTGTCGAGAAGACACTGCAGCATGAGAAGTCTGTTTTCTCGACAGACCTGTTCTTCACCCGAGGACGGCTGCTTGCGTTGTGGCCGAAACGTCGTGAGAATTATTTTATTATGTTTATTTATTTTATTTTATTTTTTCCTTTTTACGTGACTTTATCGAAAGAACCAAGAAGAACAATAAGGATTTCAGTTAATTTAAGTTGAATAAAATATTATGTAATCCACTCAGACAATGGCGGAGCCAGGATTTTCAGGTAGGGGGGTAACCCCTCCAGCAATGAAACATGATAGAGGAGTTGTTAGTAAGTAAGGAGTTGTTAGTAAGTAAGAAGTTGTCCCTTGCTTTTTAATCGACGCGTGTGTGCCGATGGCGCAGCCATCGATCGAGGGTCGAATTCGAACCGCGTCGTGTGATCGGCATCGCGCTCGCTGAAGGTGAATGCCTTCAGCGAAGTCGTGTACTGTAGACGCAACTGCGCACAATTCTGTGAGTCACATATAACTGCTTTGCCGTTACTTATTGCCAATTATGGACTCAGACTATTGTCCTATCATCTCAAAAAGTCCCTGGCACGTAATAACATGCTACACGGTGGCAGTGGGAGTCGCAAAATTCCGCTTTATTATTAATAAACCGCAATGATCCGATCGAAATGAGGGATTTCGATTGGATCATAGGGGTGGCACGCCCGCCCCCCCCACGCTCCACCAGTGCATTCAGAGAGTGAAAATGGTAGCAGCAGCCCACGGCACAACCAGGGAGCAACAGCTTCAGCAAGCTCAGGCAGATCCAGACAACGATCAGCACTGCAGGCATATTCTTAGGTTTTTTCGGTCAAGTCACGTAGGTAAAAAATTAAAATTAATTAAAGTAAAATAAAATAAAAATCACTTGATACAGCAATCGTGCTGTGACGGTTCCACCTGAAGACGGAAGCTTGTGTTGCCTCCGAAACGTCGTGATTTTTATTTTATTTTTATTTTACTTTTTTTAATTTTAAATTTTTTACCTATGTGACTTTACCGAAAAAACCTAAGAATATGAATCCTTGGCAGTCACGAAAGCTTCAAATCTAGAAGCACTGCACGCAAACACAAACATGCCATATCATCGGACCTTTTAGC